TCACTAGGGTGAGTGGTGCGCCCTTCACCAGGTGAAGGCTTCAAGTTACAACACTATGGGGGTGTTGAAGGTCACCGAGGCGAGGCTGCAGCTTCGAGGTTGTGTTGGTGACGTGTTTCCAACACTGACTTTGGTAGAGTCCGTCGCGGCTCCGTGGCCTAGGGAGACACTGTGCAGTTTTACAGAGGTGAATCGGGTCTTTTTTTTGTAGAGTTCCGTATACTTAATTCTGCTTTAGATTATTGAGCAGCGTGCTCATGTTGGTTGTTCTTGAGTGGGGTTTGATCTTTACTGACCCCCTGCGAATCGTTTGGAAACCGCATCGCGATTTCTTTCTTGTACTCTTGTCTGCTAGGGATGCTATGGATTTCAGTTGCAAGTTGTTCGAAGTTGCTTCAGCTATGCATTTTCGACTTTCGTTCATGCTATATTCTAGCTTCAAGCATCTTAACACATATATCTAAGATATTCCTAAGAAAGTAATCAGCGACGAAGCAGCTTATTGCCTAATTGTATAAGTTCTAAATTCAAGCAACGCCACTGAAGGGGAATATCTTAGAAAATCGTAAGCGGTAAATATGGTCTGTGTATAAAAATATGACGCAGATGGCATCTCTGTCTTCTTGAGTCCAAATATGTGTTGTGTAGTCACGTTAATAACATCCTCGCTAAGACAAGCGCCTCAATGTGGCAGGTTTAAGATGTACACAAACATAACTATTAATATTAAGTTGAAGACAGCTATATAGCTATATATATATATATATATATATATATATATATATATATATATATATATATATATATATATATATATAGTGTGTGTGTGTGAGACACCTCCAAACACCGAGGATATGGAAGTATCTTTAAAAGCTGAAACTTATCTTCACCTTCCCACGCTCAGGAAAAGTGGAATGTTTAGTTTTAGAAGCAAATATAACAAATCTGACAGTATACATGTGAGGAAATAGTGAAACACACACACACACATCTGCCCATCGAGAAACGATGGGCAGAGTTTCTTTCACCCTATGCCCCTGTTACCTAGCAGTAAATAGGTACCTGGGAGTTAGTCAGCTGTCACGGGCTGCTTCCTGGGGTGTGTGTGTGGTGTGGAAAAAAAAATAGTAGTAGAAACAGTTGATTGACAGTTGAGAGGCGGGCCGAAAGAGCAGAGCTCAACCCCCGCAAGCACAACTAGGTGAGTACACACACACACACACACACACAGGGGCCTGGCCGCTGAGTGAACAGTCCTAGGATCTGGATTCGTAGTCCTAGGGTCCGGGGATCGATTCCCGGCGAAGGCGGAAACAAATGGGCAGTTTCTTTCACCCTGAAGCACCTGTTCACCTAGCAGTAAATAGGTAACTGGTAGTTAAACAGCTGTAACGGGCTGCCTCCTGTGTGTGTGTGTGTGTGTGTGTGTGTGTGTGTGTGTGTGTGTGTGTGTGTGTGTGTGTGTGTGTGTGTGTGTGTGTGTGTGTACTCACCTAGTTGTGTTTGCGGGGGTTGAGCTCTGGCTCTTTGGTCCCGCCTCTCAACCGTCAATCAACAGGTGTACAGATTCATGAGCCTATCGGGCTCTGTCATATCTACACTTGAAACTGTGTATGGAGTCAGCCTCCACCACATCACTTCCTAATGCATTCCATTTGTCAACCACTCTGACACTAAAAAAGTTCTTTCTAATATCTCTGTGGCTCATTTGGGCACTCAGTTTCCACCTGTGTCCCCTTGTGCGTGTTCCCCTTGTGTTAAATAGACTGTCTTTATCTACCCTATCAATCCCCTTCAGAATCTTGAATGTGGTGATCATGTCCCCCCTAACTCTTCTGTCTTCCAGCGAAGTGAGGTTTAATTCCCGTAGTCTCTCCTCGTAGCTCATACCTCTCAGCTCGGGTACTAGTCTGGTGGCAAACCTTTGAACCTTTTCCAGTTTAGTCTTATCCTTGACTAGATATGGACTCCATGCTGGGGCTGCATACTCCAGGATTGGCCTGACATATGTGGTATACAAAGTTCTGAATGATTCTTTACACAAGTTTCTGAATGCCGTTCGTATGTTGGCCAGCCTGGCATATGCCGCTGATGTTATCCGCTTGATATGTGCTGCAGGAGACAGGTCTGGCGTGATATCAACCCCCAAGTCTTTTTCCTTCTCTGACTCCTGAAGAATTTCCTCTCCCAGATGATACCTTGTATCTGGCCTCCTGCTCCCTACACCTATCTTCATTACATTACATTTGGTTGGGTTAAACTCTAACAACCATTTGTTCGACCATTCCTTCAGCTTGTCTAGGTCTTCTTGAAGCCTCAAACAGTCCTCTTCTGTTTTAATCCTTCTCATAATTTTAGCATCGTCCGCAAACATTGAGAGAAATGAATCGATACCCTCCGGGAGATCATTTACATATATCAGAAACAAGATAGGACCGAGTACAGAGCCCTGTGGGACTCCACTGGTGACTTCACGCCAATCGGAGGTCTCACCCCTCACCGTAACTCTCTGCTTCCTATTGCTTAGATACTCCCTTATCCACTGGAGCACCTTACCAGCTACACCTGCCTGTCTCTCCAGCTTATGTACCAGCCTCTTATGCGGTACTGTGTCAAAGGCTTTCCGACAATCCATGAAAATGCAGTCCGCCCAGCCCTCTCTTTCTTGCTTAATCTGTGTCACCTGATCGTAGAATTCTATCAAGCCTGTAAGGCAAGATTTACCCTCCCTGAATCCATGTTGGCGATTTGTCACGAAGTCCCTTCTCTCCAGATGTGTTACCAGGTTTTTTCTCACGATCTTCTCCATCACCTTGCATGGTATACAAGTCAAGGACACTGGCCTGTAGTTCAGTGCCTCTTGTCTGTCGCCCTTTTTGTATATTGGGACCACATTCGCCGTCTTCCATATTTCTGGTAGGTCTCCCGTCTCTAGTGACTTACTATACACTATGGAGAGTGGCAGGCAAAGTGCCTCTGCACACTCTTTCAGTACCCATGGTGAGATCCCATCTGGACCAACAGCCTTTCTAACATCCAGATCCAGCAGGTGTCTCTTGACCTCCTCTCTCGTAATTTCGAACTCCTCCAAGGCCGCCTGGTTTACCTCCCTTTCTCCTAGCACAGTGACCTCACCCTGTTCTATTGTGAAGACCTCCTGGAACCTCTTGTTAAGTTCCTCACACACCTCTCTGTCATTCTCTGTATACCTGTCCTCGCCTGTTCTAAGTTTCAATACCTGTTCTTTCACTGTTGTTTTCCTTCTGATGTGACTGTGGAGTAGCTTTGGTTCGGTCTTGGCTTTGTTTGCTATATCATTTTCAAAATTTTTCTCTGCTTCTCTTCTCACCCTGACGTACTCATTCCTGGTTCTCTGGTATCTCTCTCTGCTTTCTGGTGTTCTGTTATTCCGGAAGTTCCTCCACGCCTTTTTGTTCAGTTTCTTCGCTTCCATACATGCCCTATTATACCATGGATTCTTCTGTTGCTTCTCGGATTTTTCCCTTTGGGCCGGGATGAACCTGTTTACTGCCTCCTGACACTTTTGGGTAACATAGTCCATCATACCCTGTACAGACTTATCTCTGAGGTCTGTGTCCCAAGGTATTTCACTTAGGAAACTTCTCATCTGTTCATAATTCCCCTTTCGGTATGCCAGCCTTTTGATTCCTAGTTCTTTTTGGGGGGAGATAAGTCCTAGCTCTACCAGGTACTCAAAGTTCAATACACTGTGATCACTCATTCCCAAGGGCGCTTCCATCTTAACTTCCCTTATATCCCATTCATTTAGGGTAAATATCAAATCAAGCATTGCTGGTTCATCTTCTCCTCTCATTCTTGTTGGTTCTTTGGTGTGCTGGCTTAGAAAGTTTCTTGTTGCCACGTCCAGCAGCTTAGCTCTCCATGTTTCTGGTCCTCCATGCGGGTCTCTGTTCTTCCAATCTATCTTCCCATGGTTGAAGTCTCCCATAATTAGTAGTCCAGATCCATTCCTGCTAGCAACAGAAGCTGCTCTTTCTATTATGTTAATGGTGGCCATGTTGTTTCTATCATATTCCTGTCTGGGTCTTCTGTCGTTTGGTGGTGGATTAGGTGTGTGTGTGTGTGTAAAAAAAATTGATTGATAGTTAAGAGGCGGACCCAAAGAGCCAGAGCTCAACCCCCGCAACCTTCGTGAATACAACTCGGTAAATACACACACAGGGGGCCTCGGGGCTGAGTGGATAGCGCTCCGGGGTCGTAGTCTTAAGGGCCAGAGTTCGATTCCCAGTCGAGGCAGAAACAAATGAGCAAAGTTTCTTTCACTCTGGTGCTCCTGTTCACCTAGAAGTAAATAGGTACCTGGGAGTTAGACAGCTGCCACGGGCTGCTTACTGGGGGTGTGTCTGTGCGTGCGTTAGAAATATATGTAGTAGCCATAATAAGAGGAAAATAGGTGGTTAGAAAGGCAGGGTCCAAGAGCTAATAGCTCGATTCTGCAGACACAAATAATAAATACAAACAAAAATCGTAAATAAAAAAATAGTAAATACAAGCAAAAATCGCAAATAAAAAAATTGTAAATACAAACAAAAATCGTAAATAAAAAAATTGTAAATACAAACAAAAATCGTAAATACAAGCAAAAATCGTAAATACAAGCAAAAATCGTAAATACAAGCAAAAATCGCAAATACAAACAAAAATCGTAAATACAAGCAAAAATCGTAAATACAAGCAAAAATCGTAAATACAAGCAAAAATCGTAAATACAAACAAAAATCGTAAATACAAGCAAAAATCGTAAATACAAGCAAAAATCGTAAATACAACCCCATAGTAAATACACACACAAACACTGTCCACAGCTTCACGAGTCAAAATAAACAGATATTCGGGAGTCATGGTAAACACATATAGGGCAGACCACACGCCAGCCTGGAATGTTAGACAAGTGTTTTCTCTATGTGTTATCATCCGGCTTGCTAATGTTTACTAAGATACGACCCGTCGTACTGCAGGAGCGGGAGCTGGGGCCTGGGCCAGATGCAGGGCGGCTACACCCAGAACCACCGGGGCCACACCCCGCACTCCTACACCTACCCACAGATGAACCAGGTAAGGAACCAACACCACCATAACCTTTTTTGGAGGGTAACGTCGACAATATTAAGTAACGACCCGTCTTAGGTTACGTGGCTACAGCAGGGCAATGGTGTCACCTCCCAGTAAACACATCATGTAACCACAATGTTAATACGATGTTACAAGGCAAGACAATTAACTATGGGTTACGTAGTGTGTTTGTTGGGTTTGGGTCGAAGGTGCACACCGCCTGGGAGACGAACCCCTGAGGTGCTTGTCGTGGTCCTCTCTTTTTTCCCCATCCCCCCCCCCCCCCCAGGCGCGGAGATTTGCGCAAAAGTATTAAGCTTTTGCCCCGAGGGGCGAGTTTATTGGGCAGCGCCACTCATCCTGTGAGTGGACACGCCGCCATAGAAGCATGTATAAAACCCCCAATAGCAAGAAAACCCGCTGGATTGTTCATCCTGCGCAAAATTAATGATATCACCTGATATTAAATGACTATTTAGCAATAACTGAACGACTTGTTACAGTGGTTCAGAGTTAACGGTTGCAACAAGTAATGCCAGAGCAGATTGAACAATTGCAACAGTGACATTAGTTCTGGTTTAATTCATACAACATTCACAACTAGCTGATGGGCTCAATCAAGTAATTACGACGCTTCACGTTAAAGGACTTAATTAAATACTCAAACCACTACAACAGTACCAGCAGCAACCAGTAAATTATTCTGTACAACTGACAATCTATGTGCAACAGGTAAACAGCTTCTCATGTGTCTATGGGTACAATATATAGGAGACTCCTCCCCCCTCCTCCCCCACAGACCCTCACGGCTAAATTAAGTAAACTTAAGAGTCACACACTGACGAAAGCTTCGACTCCTATGAATAACATCAAACTCTTCTGTGCAGCTCCAAGGTCAGATGCAGCTGAGCGGTGGGTATCAGCAGCTAGGCAGCTCCCTAGGCTCGGCTACACTAGGATCAGCGCAATTGTCCTCAGGTCAGTAGAGTCGCCAACACACACACATGCACACGCGCACACACACACGCACCCACACACTGCTAGGTGAGTACCTACTTCCACTAGGTGAGTATACACATACACGACAAAGAGTTCTGGGAAGACGGGTCACCACGAGCGTAGCTCTCATCCTGTAACTACACTTAGGTAATTACACACACACACACACAGGCCTTTCATAAGAAAGTAGTAGCAGCCTAGTAATGTAAAATTAAACACAAGTTAAATATTTAAACATTTTCGTTAAGGTATTTATTGGTCCTCATTTGTATATTATTTTTGCATGCTTTAACAGTTTGTAAAAATTATTACTAGGCACTCATGCTCTACTCATCTCACTCATCCGTCTGACTAACCTCCCCATTACTACCTACTCATGCATTCATCCCCCTCTGAGGCTCACCCTTCAGCCCGTCCTCCTAAGATTTCCCAACGTCAAGAAGCGCTCTTACTAACGTGCCCTTATCCTAACCTACCAGAGGACCCAACACAGAAAACGGGAAAGTATGTAAATTTCGCGAGCCGCTACCATTTTCTATTACGACGATTTTTGGGCCTTATGAAGAGTATACGTCAAAAATGTGACGTTCTATTAGGAGGACGGGTTGCACCCTTACTAACTAATTGGCCACCTCCCTTGCCAATTGTCATTATCATTACTAACTACTCATACCTACTAATCTGTCAATAATGTCAGTAAATAATGTAATTATTATAAGTGTCAGTAAATAATGAATTAACATGATCATTAATCGCTTTTCACGTCATCCATCATATAACCTATCCCAAAATACTTGAATTATCACAATAGAAAAAGATCGCTTAACCGCCCTTCACCGCTAACCATTAGTATGAAAGGGATCTGCTTCATATGGGCCAATAGGCCTTCTGCACTTCCCTGTATTCCTATGTTTAACATTAGAACATGAAAAATAGGGAAACAACAGAAAATCAATAGGCCAAAATGTGTTATCTTATACACCATTACAAGAGTTGTAATAACCACTCATTACCTCATAACAAAACGCTACTATTCCTAGGATAACCACTTATGACCCCTCATAACAAGCTTAACCAGCCACTATCGCCCACCGGGTTCACGCCGAGTGCTAATGGGATCCTTTCACCACCAGGAGCGCTGACAACAGGTCTCCCCAGCCACTTAAGCGGAGGGCTCCTGGGGGGATCTTCGCCTTCTATATCCTCCCCTGGGACCACCCCAGGGTCTCTGGGGTCTGCTCCTCCGTTATGGACTTCCGGCTCGGGGTCTAGCCTCTCCTCTGGGCTTGGGGCTGGCGGTTTCCTGGGCTCTAGCAGTGGTCTGGGATCGCCCGCTACAACGCCACTTCAACCCTCATTTGGTAAGTTTCGCTAGGATACCCCAGGACGGCGTTGTCTAGTCCAGATGAGTGATGGATTAGGATAGTATGATGAGTATCGTGTGTAACGATGGGTTTAAGGGCACTACGGTGTTCCTGCACTATATTTACGGCTGGAAATAGTGTAGTTGGATATGGAGGGAGGTAGATTGAGGGAATGACGGAAGGAGAGTTAAAGAGGGAGGGTTGGAGGGACATTGAGGGAGGGAGGGAGGTAGATTGAGGGGGGAGGGAGGGAGAGAGAGAAAAGGGGGGGGGGGGTGAAACAGAAAAGGAAAAAGGGGGGGAGGGAAGTCGAGGCAACTATCAGTGAATGTCTAACTAAGCATCCCTTCTACACTGCTGTCAAACCGTTTCCTCTTGCTGATGCTGCTCTTCTCACCTCCCTCCCATCTCACATTCTCTTTCTATTTACCTCTCATATCCTCCCCTCACCTTGCCTCCCCCTTCCCATATCCTTACATCTTCCATTCCCACCACCTGTCCCTGTCCTCTCTCTCCTTTTCTTCCTTGCTCTCCTCTCCCACTGCCAACGTCTTAATTACCTACCCTTCCTTCAACACTCTCCCGGATGCGGCCAGAATAAAATCCCGTTTGTATTTCAGCCCGTTCTCTCAATCGATCACATCTTAACACATGCAGCGGTTCTGCTTAATGCATGGTAACAAACTCCCGTTGTATGATATGGCAACCTATCTTATTACTAAGGATAAAATTCCTGAAATCCTTGCACTGTATCCATATTTCGCTCCCAGTAGATAAACGACATATGAGATTAAGAAACAAGTAGTGTATTGTGAAGACTAATAATAAACAGCAGGTCCCCTATGACTGTAATATCTCCATTGCTCAAACAATTATATATTAGCGATAAAACCTACCATTAATGTACAATGCCGTAGTGTAAATATATATTGCTCTTGAAATAGAACATTCTCTGTAACTAGTTGACATTATAATTATATGGCGTGAAGAATTTATGAAATTGTTTATGTAATAATGTCCGTGAGGTCTGATAAAGACCTTTTGTGCCCTCTGTAATGCTTTTTGCGCTACCGCTCACAGGATGAGTATGGAGTGCACAATAAACTAGCCGCCTCCGGTAGCAACAACCAATCAAATCATGGCAACAGTCAACCTTACGGTTCTAATTTTTTTGACTCACACTTCACATTTTCAACGGATTGGTCGATTATGTTAACACTGCGACGCATGAGGTGAGAGGACAGGTTCCCATACTGTTGCCGCGACCCGTTGTCACTCTTGACTTTTCTTATACAAAATGTGTTTGATATTAGTTACACGTTATTGAAACTAGAAGAGCCGAGGTTGGGGCTCGAACCTAGGGCTACCTCACGCAAGTCGAGTGTTGTACCACTTGACCACCACTAGTAACGGAGAATATATTCCAAGTCATGCAAGATATTACCCGGATGCAACCCCCTCTCCCCCCCCCCACTCCTTCCTTCCCGGAGCTGACATGTGCTTCTGTGAACACAAATACTCCTTTATGGTCTAAAACCTGTATCGACGTGGACACTGTGACGTCATAGTCACGTCATGCCGACATGGACACTATGACGTCACACCATATAACCGCAACGTTTCATCTCTTATTTCCATTAGGTTAGGTTGGAATAGGTTGGGTTGGACTGTGCTAGGTTAAGTTGGGTTGGACTGTTATCTTGAGGTTATCTTGAGATGATTTCGGGGCTTTAGTGTCCCCGCGGCCCGGTCCTCGACCAGGCCTCCACCCCCAGGAAGCAGCCCGTGACAGCTGACTAACTCCCAGGTACCTATTTACTGCTAGGTAACAGGGGCATTCAGGGTGAAAGAAACTTTGCCCATTTGTTTCTGCCTCGTGCGGGAATCGAACCCGCGCCACAGAATTACGAGTCCTGCGCGCTATCCACCAGGCTACGAGGCCCCCTTGGCTAGGTTAGGTTGAGTTGGACTGTGCTAGGTTAGGTTGAGTTGGACTGTGCTAGGTTAGGTTGGTATAGGTCGGGTTGGACTGTGCTAGGTTAGATTGGTATAGGTCGGGTTGGACTGTGCTAGGTTAGGTTGGTATAGGTCGGGATGGATTGTGCTAGGTTAGATTGGGTTGATTAGATTTGTTTATATAGTGAGAACGTAACGGAATATACACTGGTGAGGTATTAGAGCGTACTCAAGCTGTGAGAGGCTGGCAACACAACACTCCCGCCACCCATGGCGCAGGCCCTGGCTTCAGCCCCGACTCCTGTTGCAGTCTTCAGCGTATATTACTAACTCTACCTGCCGAACTAACTCTACCTGCGGCCCTAACTCTACCTGAAGCACGAAGACTTAGTCCTCCTCGTAGCAGCACCTGCATTTAACATCCGGAATACATTATTGAGCTTCTTTATAATAGTTCTCTTTACGCATTTTACTCCGTCAGGTGGAGGCGGCGGCGGCGGGTACGGAGCGGGTCTGAGCGCGTGTCGGCGCCAGGGGGAGACGCCTAACACCACCCAGCTCACCTCTCTCTCCTACTACCCCTACTGGCCGGACTCCAAGCTCTAACAAACAGGTTGGTGGATCACTGTACGCTTCACAAGAGGTCAATTTGGACATTTATCCGTCAATCTGGGTCATGGGTGAATCTCGGCTCCAATAGATTACATAAGGGGGGGGGGAGGGGGTTGATGGGTGTTATGAACTCAAAGTGTTGATTGTTGTTGTAATGGCAATGTGAAGGTATAAAGTCAGTGGGATTGTTGCTGTAATGTTAGTGGTGATTGTTATAATCTCAGCGTTTGCTATTTCCCTCAATTCTGATCTCTCCAAATGTTGATACTACTTGTTGCTTCCCTGTGTGTGTATTTACTATTTGTATCTGCAGAATCGATCTATTAGCTCTTGGACCCCGCCTTTCTAACCAATTAATGTTTCCTCTATTATGTCTACTACATATATTTCTCTTACATACGCGCGCGCACACATCCCCAGGAAGCAGTCCGTAGTAGCTGTCTGACTCCCAGGTACCTATTTACTGCTAGAGAAACAAGGGCACCAGGGTGAAACTCTGCCCATTTGTTTCTGCCTCCGCTGGGGATCAAACTCCAAGGTCCCTTAGGACTACGACCCCAGGGCGCTGTCAACTCAGCCGCGAGGCCCCTAAATACACACTTCTGTATACGTGAGTGAATACTCGCCTAGTTGTGCTTGCAGAGATTAAGCTTCAGATTTTTGGTCTTGTCTCTAACTCTTCAATCAACTGGTGTTTAGGTGTTAGGTGTTCGAGCCTATTGGGCACTACTTCACTTCTTAAAACATCTGATTTGTTTACTATTCAGGTACTTGTTATTTAAGTACTAAGTTTCCACCTGTATCCTTGTGTTCATGTGCCACTCATGCCAAATAGCCGGCTCTTGCTTGCCAGGTTTATTCCCCCTGAGAAATTATAATGCAGTCGCCATATCTTGTCAGATCGTTTTCTCTTTCAGTAATGTGAGGTTTAATTCCTTTAGTCGTTGCTCCTAACTGGTACTTCTTTGCTCTGGGACTAGTCTGGTGGCATCTGGAACGTATCCAGGTTCGTCTTGTGTTTACCAAGAGGGCGACCTTCTCACTGACTCGGTATATTACAAAATTGATACACGTGGTATACAAGATCCTGAATGAATCTCGTGTGGGATATTATGTAGAAGGCTTCAGAACAGTACCAAACTATACAGTCTGCATACCCTTTTCTGTTTTGCTGAAGCTCTGTTGTCCGGTCATAGAACTTTAACTTTTTCTACCAAAGAACTTGGCAAGGATGGTGGGAGGAAGAAGGATGAGGGCGGTGAAATTCTTGGAAGAGGATTTGGATGTGGAGAGGGGAGGCTTGAAAGTTAAGTGGCCTATCCACCCTGGGTTGGCATTACGTTTTCGGTCTTGGCTTGGGGCTTGATTCTTCTTCAGCGGCAGGAGGAAGGTGGTGAGGCAGGTTGGTGTTGTCCTGGTTCAGCTGAGGGGCTCTGTCTGTCTGGCTCTGTCTGGCTTGGAGGAGGCGTCTTCACTATGGAGTTGGTGAACCGTAATGTTCAAATGGCTGTTGTTTGGTAGTGCCCGGAGGTAGGGATCTGGCGTGGCAAACTCTCTTTTGAATATTCCTAGCACCATCTTAGGTATCGGAGTTCCTTCCGGGTCTTCTTCGTAGCCAGGGAAGTTAATCAGTGTAGTGGATTCCGGGTCGAGGTGCTCTTTCTTCAGGTAGGCGATGTTCACGAAGTTTTCTAGCGTGTTAAGAGTGCACAATCTTGCGGAGGGGGAAAGCTATTACGTTTGCGTGACAAGATTTGTCATCTTTAAATCCACCGTTGTGCTATTTTAAAGTCTGTTCAACTAGCTGTTCAACCAATTGTTCAAGTAGCCTCTTTCATGTTTTTTTTCATCCGTTTGCATGATTTCTGTGTAGTTTGTGTGTGAAGCTGATTTGATTGTATGTTTGTTGTGCAATATTACACATGCACAGTACACACACATTTGTTGCAAGATTATATGAAATACATACACACGTTTCTTGTAGTTCACGTGCTTGTGTGCTCACATATCGAGTGTCTTCCATATTAAGTGTTAAAAGTTTCTTGCCTTATCAAAAGGAGAGATGCAAGCCATCTCTGTTAATTTATCCACTACTATGTATGGTTATTTTAAGTTTTAATGAGTGCCTTTCTTGCTAAATATTAAGAATACTTTTTCTCAATATTGCAGATTATGTGCTTATGTACACTATGGTGGAGGCTAAGATGTACTCTGCAGCGGAGGCTAAGATGTACACTGCAATGAAGGCAGTTTACGCTACAGCAAAGGCTAAAATATACGCGGCAGTGGCGGCTTTGATGTACAAGGCTGTTGAGGCTAAACTGTACACTGCGGTGAAAGCTGTATGCTGCAATGGAGGCTACGATGTACACTCCTTCCCCTGGAGGCTAAGATGTACACTCCTTCCCCTGGAGGCTAAGATGTACACTCCTTCCCCTGGAGGCTAAGATGTACACTCCTTCCCCTGGAGGCTAAGATGTACACTCCTTCCCCTGGAGGCTAAGATGTACAATCTAAGATGTACAATCTGAAGGGCAAGAGAGGAACACCGAGGGATGCCTGTCAATAACAAATGTTGGCCATAGTAGACGTTTCGAAGTGTAATCGAGATGGCGAGCGGGTCTGACAGCTGGTTGGGTGCACCATCTGATCAGATGGTGATGGTAGATACAACTGCTGATCAGGTGAAGCTGGTGACGAGTGAAAATGACAGCTGTTCAAGTGAAGGTAGTGATGAGTGAACATGACAGCTGATTAGGTGCAGGTGGTAATGAGTGAACATGTCAGCTGATCAGGTGCAGGTGGTAATGAGTGAACATGACAGCTGATCAGGTGCAGGTGGTGATGAGTGACCATGACAGCTGGTTAGGTAGAGCTGGCACCTCCACATCCTCACATATTACCCATAAAAGTACTGTACTGGTAATGTGATATTTTGATCCACTTGGTCGCTTGCACAGACTTGGCGACCGGCCCAAAGACAAAAAAATCCTAAATTATTTATTAATCACAATTAAAACTAATTTAACAGCCAATTGTAATCCAGTGCAGTGATTACCTTTTTCTTCAGTATGAATTATCCGTGAAAGTAATGATATGCACGTAGAGTTTATGGCCTTGTGAAATACATCCAATTTGTTTTTCCAGTGCAGTAACCTGCAACACAAAATTTGAACCGTGAACAATGTTAATGTCATAGACGAAAGAAAGGGCGATGGCAAATTACGAAAAGCCTTTTGCAGTATTCCTAAATATGCCCGAAAATAACCTCATGTCCAAGACCTGTCCAAATGTAGAAATAATTGAGAAAGGTGCTGTGTTTGAGCTGAACCCTCAGCTACACGCTCTCTAGTTCAAGACTTGATAAATATTCTGTCAAACACACTGAATAGAAAAGTTAGCTATACTGAATTTATATATATACAGTATATGTGTGTGCCTTAGGTACAGTGCCTTGATCTATGACAGAATGAGCCACTTATATTCACCCTTATGGGCAGTACTGTGAAAACATTGTAACTGTTGTTCATTACTGTTAGCGAAGAGCAGTGACCTGACATGTTCTTCATCACTGTTAGGGAAGAGCAGTGACCTGACATGTTCTTCATCACTGTTAGTGAAGAGCAGTGACCTGACATGTTCTTCATCACTGTTAGTGAGGAACAATGATCTCTGACCTGTTAGTCTGTACTCGGTTCATTAGCTGCCTTATTAGTCAAATTTGCCATTCAAATTATGTAGCCTCCTGTGGTGGTATTATGTAGCCTCCTGTGGTGGCACTATGTGGTCTCCTGTGGTGGTACTATGTGGTCTCCTGTGGTGGCACTATGTGGTCTCCTGTGGTGGTACTATGTGGTCTCCTGTGGTGGCACTATGTGGTCTCCTGTGGTGGTACTATGTGGTCTCCTGTGGTGGCACTATGTGGTCTCCTGTGGTGGCACTATGTGGTCTCCTGTGGTGGTATTATGTAGCCTCCTGTGGTGGCACTATGTGGTCTCCTGTGGTGGCACTATGTGGTCTCCTGTGGTGGCACTATGTGGTCTCCTGTGGTGGTACTATGTGGTCTCCTGTGGTGGCACTATGTGGTCTCCTGTGGTGGTATTATGTAGCCTCCTGTGGTGGCACTATGTGGTCTCCTGTGGTGGTACTATGTGGTCTCCTGTGGTGGCACTATGTGGTCTCCTGTGGTGGTACTATGTGGTCTCCTGTGGTGGCACTATGTGGTCTCCTGTGGTGGTACTATGTGGTCTCCTGTGGTGGCACTATGTGGTCTCCTGTGGTGGTATTATGTAGCCTCCTGTGGTGGCACTATGTAGTCTCCTGTGGTGGCACTATGTGGTCTCCTGTGGTGGTACTATGTGGTCTCCTGTGGCGGTACTATGTGGTCTCCTGTGGCGATACTATGTGGTCTCCTGTGGTGGCACTATGTGGTCTCCTGTGGTGGTACTATGTGGTCTCCTGTGGTGGCACTATGTGGTTTCCTGTGGTGGTATTATGTAGCCTCCTGTGGTGGCACTATGTGGTCTCCTGTGGTGGCACTATGTGGTCTCATGTGGTGGCACTATGTGGTCTCCTGTGGTGGTACTATGTGGTCTCCTGTGGTGGTACTATGTGGTCTCCTGTGGCGGTACTATGTGGTCTCCTGTGGTGGTACTATGTGGTCTCCTATGAAAGTACTGTTTGATCTATGTGGTCTCATGTTATGGTACTGTGTTGTCTCATGTGGTGGTACTATGTGGTCTCACATGACAGTACTGTGTAGCCCAATTTGACGGTACTACATAGTCCATGTGGTGATACTTGTAGTATCATGTGTTGCTGCTATGTGGTCTCACGTGTTGGTACTATTTGGTCTCATGTGGTGGTACTGTGTGGTCTCATGTGGTCGTATTGTGTCCTCTCATGAGGTGGTAATGTGCAAACCCATGTGGAGGGACTGTGTAGTCCCATGTGGTAATGTGCAAACCCATGTGGAGGGACTGTGTAGTCCCATGTGGTGACACTATGTTGTGGTACCGTATGGTCTCATGATGTGGTTCAAGGTACGGTAGTTCCATGTGATGGTACTATGTAGGTTCTATATAGTGGAGTCATCATCCCTACTGATGCCACTGATGTGTATTGTATAAATGCATTTAACTTTATAATTCACTAACATTTTATTCCCCCAAGAGACAGCTAATTAGCTTACAGTCCTCAATTGCACTAAATTTGTTGAGCTGAATATTCTGTAAGTGGTTGTTTTAGTACGAGCCTCTATCACGCTACTGAGGACAACATCTACGAACTAGCTATAGGGCTAGTTAACAGGGTCTTGTGTTTAACATCAGCAGCTGTTGTGTTTCGATTCTCAAGAATAGACCTCAAGGCCACTTAAGAACTAATGGGGATGTATGTTTCCAAACTCGTATTTCGCCAAATTAAAGAGTGTTACCGTCCCCAAAAGTGCCACTATCTCAAAAAGTGTCACCGTCCCAAAAAGTGCCACCGTCGCAAAAAGTGCCACCGTCCGGAAAAGTGCCACTATCCGGAAAAGTGCCACCGTCCCAAAAAGTGCCACCGTCCCAAAAAGTGCCACCGTCCCAAAAAGTGCCACCGTCCCAAAAAGTGCCACCGTCCCAAAAAGTGCCACCGTCCCAAAAAGTGCCACCGTCCCAAAAAGTGCCACCGTCCCAAAAAGTGCCACCGTCCCAAAAAATGCCACCGTCCCAAAAAGTGTCACCGTCCCAAAAAGTGCCACCGTCCCAAAAAGTGCCACCGTCCGGATAAAAGGCCACAATCCGGTGTCTTCGTCGTGCCTCGAACAGCTGGTCTACACTGGGGGCATTTTCAGCTCCACAAAGCCCACTTTGAAAACAGATCAAAGGTTATTCAGAGCAGTGCATTAGTGTCGAATGTATAACCCCCCCCCCCCTCCTCCCTTTCCACCGCCTTCATATATGCAACATACTCCTCAAAACTCCATATAATAATCATGTTAACAGTTATCGCCAAATACGTCACTTATCAGGATATCACCATCAAATTTGTTATCTACATTGGCCACAGTGGTTCGAAATGAGTTGTATATATATATAGTTTATATAGCAAGATCCTCCTTTCTTCTTCACCCAATATAAGTTGTGTTTACATTTGTGAATTGTAACTTTGTTCGTCATGAGGCCAATGTGATTTTTTTTAAATTCAGGATGAAGTTGAAAGATGATGTCACTGAACTAACTGTAAGCATCCTCCAATATGTAATTTATTTAATTAGTTGAATTACTGAGTAAAGCTATTTTGTATCTTTATGATGTCAATAGGTATTTTTTCATTGTGGTTACAACGAAAAATAACAGATTGCATTAATCTGTTATTTTTCATTGTGGTTATTCCACAATGGAATATCTTGGATCAGTGTTTCGTGATCATTGTTGCATACATATATATATATATGCGAACAAGCCTGAATGGTCCCCAGGACATAGTGATATATATATATATATATATATATATATATATATATATATATATATATATATATATATATATAAAGTCATCCTTGCCTTCATTTCCTACGCTGACCGTCCAAATGACCTCAGAGGGATAACAATGGCTTTTTAGCCTGGCAATTCAACCCAATATTTGGAAAAGTACCTGGATGTATATATTCTATATAAAAGGCATTGCACATGAAGTGTTTCTTATCCTTAAACCTTACACGGAAATCAAAATAAAACCTCATATTATTCTCGATATCTTTTAAGATTTAACGTCTCGATAAAATATTAATAATTTTATAGATATGAAATTGCAATAAAGTTATTACTTATAAAAAAATGAATTCTCGACCCACAGTAACACAGTAACTCGACCCACAGTAACTAAGTAAATGCTATGCAATATTTATGTCGAACTACGCCAAGAAACGTTGCAATAAATGGCATTGCATATTTTGCAATGAATCATATTTGCTACTCACGATGACTGGCCTCGGTACAGATGTGCTTGTCTTTCCTGTGCATTTGTTGCCTGTGTTTGTCTATAGATATGCAGGTATGCAATTTCTGTGTTGCCGATTAGAAAGGGTAAGAAATTTTTTAGTAATCAAATCACACAATATACAAATTTTCTACAGAAAGAGTAGGAAACCAGGTGTAAAAGAAACTGTTAAAATCTTACAGCGGCATAAAAAAAAATTTCCAATAAATAAAACACACTCTTCGGATATTCTGCAACATAAATTGAAAAGCAGATTAAACAAAAATAAAAAATAAGTTTTTTGATCAAAACTGTTTAAAAATAATTATATCTATTTTCATATTTGATTTTATTATAACTTCAGCGAACAGCCAGTAATTTATAAACAATGCACTTTATTTCTATTAAATGCATTAAGACTACATACAGAGCTGAATTTCAAGAACAAATATGATGCTATTTGACCCAATATGACTAATTCTGTATGATGTTGAATCTTGGTCACCTAGCTTCAGCATACAGTACTTAATATCCAAGTGTGTGTGTGTGTGTGTGTGTGTGTGTGTGTGTGTGTGTGTGTGTGTGTGTGTGTGTGTGTGTGTGTGTGTGTGTGTGTGTGTGTGTACCTAGTAGCCAGAACGCACTTCTGTGCCTACTATGCAAGGCCCGATTTGCCTAATAAGCCAAGTTTTCATGAATTATTATATTTTCTCAAATTTTTTTCTTATGAAATGGTAAAGCTACCCATTTCGTTATGTATGAGGTCAATTTTTTTTATTGGAGTTAAAATTAACGTAGATATATGACCGAACCTAACCAACCCTACCTAACCTAACCTAACCTATCTTTATAGGTTAGGTTCGGTTAGGTAGCTGAAAAAGTTAGGTTAGGTTAGGTTAGGTAGGTTAGGTAGGTTAGGTAGTCGAAAAACAATTAATTCATGAAAACTTGGCCTATTAGGCAAATCGGGCCTTGTATAGTAGGCTGAGAAGTGCGTTCTGGCTACTAGGTACGACATATATATATATATATATATATATATATATATATATATATATATATATATATATATATATATATGTATATATATATGTATATATATATATGTATATATATATGTATATATATATATGTATATATTTATGTATATATATATATATGTATATATATGTATATATATGTATATATATATGTATATATATATATATATATATATATATATATATATATATATATATATATATATATATATATATATATATATATATAAAGGTCGACGTGGGGAGGTTAGGGGTGAGGGGGAGGAGGTGCCAAATATCAAGTTCTCAACCACGTCTACCCTCTCCAACCCCCACGTCTCTTTCCCTCTCCTCTGTCTCCCCTCTCTCCTCACCTCCCCTCACCCTTACCCCCATCACCTCCCAAGCCAACACTAACCTCGCTGGCCTTGTGATCCTCGAGAATGTCTTCCTCACAGGCCCAGGAGCAAGAGAAGGAGTGGGGTCAGCATCTCCCTCGTTAGGAATATTACTAGCGGAAGTAACCGCAGCCACACTGGAGTAGTAACAACGGTAGCAGTTGTAGCAGCAAGAGAAGCAGTTGTAGTTGCAACAGTAGCAGTTGTAGCAGCAGCAGTAACAGTTGTAGCAGCAGCAATAGCAGTTGTAGTAGCAACATGAGCAGTTTTAGTAGCAGTAGAAGCAGTTGTAGTTGCAACAGTACCAGTTGTAGCAGCAACAGAAGCATTTGTAGTAGTAACAGAAGCAATTGTAGCAGCAAAAATAGCAGTTGTAGCAGCAACAGAAACATTTGTAGTAGTAATAGAAGCAATTGTAGCAGTAACAGAAGCATTTGTAGTAGTAACAGCAGTTGTAGCAACAACAGTAGCAGATGTCGAATCAACAACTGTAGCAGATGTTGAAGCAACAACAGTAGCAGATGTTGAAGCAACAACAGTAGCAGATGTTGCAGCAGCAACAGTAGATGTTGCAGCAACAACAGTAGATGTTGAAGCAACAACAGTAGCAGATGTTGAACTTAAACTTAAAAAAGGGCCTCGCGGCACAGTTGGCTTTGTTCGTGACTCACAAGCGGAGATTCTGGGTGCGCTTTCCGAGCGGGACAGAAATGGTTGGACACGTTTCCTTTCACCTAATGCATCTAGCAGTAAATAGGTACCAGAGTTAGATAACTGTTGTGGCTTGCATCTTGGGGAGAGTCAGTAGTTCGCTCTTTAAAAATAACCTCAATACAAACCTAAAGAATATATTTTAGAGGCTTCCTGTCCCCGACAAAACGAATTAATTGTCATCTTGACTAAAACAAACAAGGAAATCATAATAGCGTAATATTTATAAGATAAAACTATTAGTGACCCAAGACCTCCGCAGATTAGATCCCACCGCCCTACACCGAAGATTTTGCCATCTGAACTAAAATTCATGATTATCTCTTTTATTGATAACCATGCGATTATCTCTTTATTGATAACCATGCAATTATCTCTTTATTTATAGATATATATATATAACAACCCATATAACAACGTTGTAGAAAAACGGAAAAATTATAGAAATGTTGTAAGTAAATGTTTACAGAACAGAAATGATATTTATACAAATGATACTTTAATTAATTAATAAAAAAGAACTTAAACAAATAGATAACATATGCAACAGAACACGAACGCCCTCTTCTAACACCAGGAACTAGATAGGTAGACAGAGAAAGCAAGAGGGGAAGAAACTGCAGCAGGTACATTGGCCCATACAAAGCAGCTCCTATTTATATCCATCTAAATTCATTCATGTATATATGTCTAACCTACGCTTGAAACAGTATCGGAAGATATAAATAGCCGCTAGAATTTGATAATGTTTACGGAAGATTTGTCATTAAACTCCCTCACACACCTGGTCGACACCTTTACACACCTGGTCGACTTCCTTCACACACGTGTTCCATACCCCTCACTCACCTGCTCGACTCCCCTCACACACTATATACATTCTCTACTATGTCTTCCTTCTTTCTTCTGGCACCTTTTTCAACTCCTAATCAGTCTTTATTTTCTCCCTATCACCACCTTCCCTTCTCCCTCCCTCCCTCCTTTCCCTTCCCTCTCTTTCACCACCCTCCATTCCTCCCTCTCACCACCTTCCTTCTCCTTCCATCTCTTCCTGGCCTTTACCTTTCATTTATAAGCCTTGCCGATCCTCTTCCAAATCCGCCCACACACTCACTTGACATCTATATATCTCTGTGGGCGGAGGTGAGGTTGTGGGCGAGGCCGAGGACTTGGGTGTGGGTTTGGACGTGAACGAGAACATGGGTGTGGGAGTGGGAGAGGTCATGGGCGTGAGTATTTTGGGTGTGTGTGGAGTACACGTGTGTCTTGTGTTTACCACCAGTTGTGTAGTCATGTGTCCAGAGGAGGAGGGGGGAGGGTAAACATTGTGTAGCCACATCTTCAGGGTTTAGAGGGAATGTTGGCTCGTTAATATAGCTATCAAAACACCTGTTTATGAATGAAAAAATAAAACACTTTACACACGACTAACAATTGATGACGTTCGAACTTTTCTAGGCCATTCATTCGCCCTCTTCCTGTGGTTAATCGCCCCTCTGTAAGTGCTTCACCCACCTTCCGGAAATACAAATAATTGCTAACCTAATCAAACCCAGACCTAACTATACCGTACACAAAATTATATTATACTTTAATATTAGTTTATCCCGACAAAACGGCAAGTTTTGCTTCCGCGGAACGAGAACATTAGCTATTTTGTTATGGGTGATGCGTGGACGAATATAGTCTACTAGAAGACTAAAAAATTATATCTTTCATCTACAAGAAGACTAAACACGATTATATATATGTTTAGAAGAAGACTTAAAAATTATATTCTAGCAGATCCTAGAGGATGCAACTCCCACAATACTTGCCTAATTCTCGGGTACCTATTTGAACAGAATCATTACGTGAAAGGACATGTGCCCAACTAGTTTCTGTCCTTCCCGGAAACCGTACACGGGATCCCCGATTGTGAGTCGAGAACGAAGCCAACTGGACTACGAGACCTTTTCTATTGATTTGCCACTCCGTAAATAAATGCAACTGTTTTGCCTAACCAGAAACGTACGAACCCAAGCGACCCACTAAACTAAATTTAACGCATAAAAAAAATTATAAATATTAAAAACACATTGGTCGTTTCCGTAAAAAAAAAATATGCGACGTATTAGGCAAAAGGTTGTAAAAACACCCATTAAACTCCAGACGCCTCTGTATGAATGTAACGCAGCCGGTAACTAATACAAACAATTGCACAAAACTGCTTATTTGTCCACTCACACACAATACACCTCACGCACGCTTATGTAAGGAGGAATACAAACTGTATACACAGCTAAAACACGACCGGATATACATCCTAGATGTGCTGAGCAAGAGCTGTGTATATTATGAAGAGCGACCTGGTATGGGTCATCATATTTTTTTATATTTCTTCGTCAATATTGGTTGAGTCAGGTAGCTACTGCAGCTCCCTTGTACTTCCGCAGGTGTTTCTGGCGTGTTGTGTCTTGGGGTTATATGGTGGGTGACAGCGGTGGCAGCGGTGACAGCGGTGACAGCGGCGCGGTACAGTAATACAGCCACTTTGTAACAACAACGATATCAGAGTTGATATCAACGTCATGCTGGGGATGGTGGCAGCAGGAACAACAGTGATGCCAGACGTAACAGCGCCGGTGACAGCAGTAACAGCACCGGTGACGCCAGTAACAGCGCCGGTGACAGCAGTAACAACAACCACGTTACAACAAGTAGTACTAATGGTAGCAACTCTCACACAATTTCAAACAGTATCTATAACAAGAGGTCTTGGTTGCAATTGTAATGTCAGCAACAGCAACGGACGCTGCAGCAGCAGCTGCAGAAACAGTAACAGTCGCAGCAGCTCCAGCAGCTGCAGAAACAGTAACAGCAACAGTCGCAGCAGCTCCAGCAGCTGCAGAAACAGTAACAGCAACAGTCGCAGCAGCTCCAGCAGCTGCAGAAACAGTAACAGCAACAGTCGCAGCAGCTCCAGCAGCTGCAGAAACAGTAACAGCAACAGTCGCAGCAGCTGCAGAAACAGTAACAGCAACAGTCGCAGCAGCTAGGGCAGTAATGTAAACAAACTCCTTTCACTTCCTAGAGCCATTAGACTCTAGACGTAAGAGCCTGCATCATCTACCCGACCAAGTAGGCCTCCTGTCACGCGTCTCCATGCAGGATCCACTCATTGTAAAACATAGTTATACAATATTTAAACCCCATTATGGCGTCAAACCCGCTGTTGTAATGGGATAAGGAACTAAATACAATATAAGAATAGGGGTCTTCGCGAACATTTGTAACTCGGGAAGATAGACGGGGACTTCGCGAACATTAGTATCCCGTGAAGATAGACGGGGTCTTCGCGAACATTAGTATCCCGTGAAGATAGACAGGGTCTTCGCGAACATTAGTATCCCGTGAAGATAGACGGGGACTTCGCGAACATTAGTATCCCGTGAAGATAGACGGGGTCTTCGCGAACATTAGTATCCCGTAAAGATAGACGGGGTCTTCGCGAACATTAGTATCCCGTGAAGATAGACGGGGACTTCGCGAACATTAGTATCCCGTGAAGATAGACGGGGTCTTCGCGAACATTAGTATCCCGTAAAGATAGACGGGGTCTTCGCGAACATTAATATCCCGTGAAGATAGACAGGGTCTTCGCGAACACAGCGCCCCGTGAAGGTAGGAGAGAGGTTGTCGTCTTAACAGCTGTCTCCTCTCTGTCACTCTTTTCGCTCCTGTCTTCTCCTGCCGTCCTTACTCTTGCCTCTAGTGAAGGCAGCGGGATATACAGAAATCTTTAAATATTTCCTCTGAATGACTGTGAGGTGTGTGTGTGTGTGTGTGTGTGTGTGTGTGTGTGTGTGTGTGTGTGTGTGTGTGTGTGTGTGTGTGTGTGTGTGTGTGTGTGTGTGTGTGTGTGTGTGTGTGTGTGTGTGTGTGTACACAGTTGAGAGGCAGGACCAAAGAGCCAGAGCTCAACCCCCGCAAGCACAACTAGGAGAGTACACACAAGCGGAGGAGAACCCTATATTTTAACCCCGCGTGTCTCAACCAGTGTATCAATTTTTTTCAATTTCTTTCTTTATTATGCACCCCATATCCATCCAGTGGGCGGTGGTGTAAAGGGTTACAGAGGCACATAATCGGTTCAGGAACTGAACCCTCTAGTTCGTTTAGCTAAGCAAATAACAATTTTGACGCTACTTACAAAATTATTAATGTTATATATACATGTATACATTCTCATACATGTACATATATATATTCGTATACATATATACATACACATACATATAGGCAAGAGATACTGATAAATTGGCAAATTCTATTCATATATAAATATATTTTGAGTCGTTGTTGTAAGGAATATTTCTCATTTAGCCAATAACAAGAGCAAAGACATAAATGGTCTCCTTTTAGTTGGCAATGAAATCCGTGTATTTATCTAACGAACAACCCAGAATTATTTCAAGGGTTCAAAGGTTGACAACCGCTGGTTTAACTAGTTAGAAACGGTAACCAGGAACGAGTACCTCAGAGCGAGAAGAGAAGCGGAGAGACAATTTCACAACGACATTCAAATATAAAAAAGATTCAACCAAAGTTACTTAACAGACACATCAGGAGGAAAACAATACAAAAAAAAATAGGTGATGAAACTGAGGGCAAAGAGGAACATTCTCACAGCGAACTACAAGGGGAAGTGTGTGGAACTCAATAATAGATTCCAGGTCTTCACATCAAAGGGAAATTGTCTGACCTATCGGCACTGGATGACTTTGAGATTACCACAAATGAGGACAGGAGGCATCTACTGGAATTATACGACAACGGTTGTTTTTAGTATCTCACCATTGATACTAAAAGAATGTATGGAAGCTCTGTGCTTACTCCTTTCTATAATAAGTTACTAGAAATAGGAGACCTACCAGAAAGTTGGAAGGTAGCCACGGTAGTCTTAATATACAGTATATGAAGGGAAGCAATGTTCCTAATCTGCATTCCGTGCAAGGTGGTTAAGATCATGAGAGAAAGACTAGTAGCACATCTGGAGAGAATGGTGACAAAATAGAAAAGTCTGAGAAGCATGGGGAGGCTGTATATTTTTGGACTGCCAGAAAGCCTTTGACACAGTACCTTACAAGATATCTTTCAAGGTAGTGGTGCACAAGTTGCAGATACCGGCAGGTGTGACAGGTAAGGTACTCCAATGGAAAAGGGCTTGTGGACTTTTTTTACACATTCCTCGTCTTCATTTGCTCTTACACCGGTCAATTAAGGGTTAAGCGGCATAACCCAAGCAAGAGCCGTAGCACAGACCACGCAAATATAATTAGGTGAGTAGGGAAGGGCATTATTAGCGAAAAGTTCCAACCCATTAACACTATATAGCACTTGGAAGGTCAGGATAACGATTTGGGATTGGACGGGGGGAAAGGAATAGAGGCCAACCACTTGGACGGTCCGGGATTGAACGCTGACCTTCATGAAGCAAGACCGTCGCTCTTCCGTCCAGCCCAGGTGATTGGGCGGTGAGTAGTTAGTTCACTACTCACCTAGTAGTGAACACGGGAGACATCTCCCGTCACGCAGGGTGCAGTCGCACCTCCACAGATCTCCAGTATCATCTATTGATACTGGTGATGGCTCAAAAGGGCCACCACTTACGGGCTATTCATGCCCGTGCCACCTTTTAAGTGGTTTAATCTTCATCAATCTTTCTAGTAGTGAACTACTAGGTGAGTACTCATTGATAACAGGGCAATCACAGATATAGTGTTGGAGAGTATGTCCTCTCAAGTAGGACTGAAAACATGTTTTTTCACCCAGGTTATAAAACAATGGAACCGCCTACCCGCTGAAGCCGTAAATGACAAAATCCAGCTAGAAAATATCATTAGGACAATTGGCGGGACTTAACAAGCCTCCGGCTTTTTGTCCTCGTCGAGGCCACTAAATAGTTAGTGGCCCCTTGGGTAAATTTAGGTAAATATATACATAAATAAATATCATCGCTTCTCAAATCTTGGGAGCGACAAGGAAAGCTATACACTATTTCTTAAAATTACGTAGGTTAACTACAATGTCGGTGCTGACTGTACTAGTTGAAAAAAACATAGTTTTACTTCGAAATATACTAATTTTATAAGAAAAATCGACGTAAATAAGTGGCAAGAGCATCACGGATAAGCTCCGAAATGCCAGCGTCGTGATTGGCTATAGCTGTAAGATGAAAAATGTTACCTTCTCTTTGATTGGTCAAACTAAAAGCCCTAGTGACATCTAGCGAAACCTAAGTGAACTACTTAAAAATCTTCGTAAGTATACTTTTCTGAATCGCCTTTTGGTGCGTTCTTAGCCGGTACTTAGGAACCATCGTAGTACACATACTTACGAAGAAATATATGGAGTTTCGTGAATCTAAGTCCAGGAGGCCTGGTCGAGGACCGGGCCGCGGGGACGTTGAGCCCCGAAATCATCGCGAGGTAACCGCAGGATGAGTATGAGGTGCACAATAAACTAGCCGCCTCTGGTGGCAACAATCAACAAAATCCCACATCAAATGAGGCCTTCACAATCCATGCCTCCTCCTACACTGTAGGCCTACCGACCCAGGCTTTCCCCCCTACCAGTTGTCTATCTTTAAAAGCCAAAAGTATTACTAAAAGCCCCCTACTTCTTCCCTCCCTCCTCCACCAGCCAGCCCCCTGGCCCCCTCCAAACCCCGTTTCTTTTTCCTTTCAGATTAACCCCTTCATCATATACGACCCATCGAGGCCTATTACACTCCTTTCCACCCTTCCTCCTAGGCCTCCACTCGTCCCCTCCCCACCACCATGCCCCACACCCCCGCTCCATAAATTCTCCATATGCGTAACCCAACGCCACCGGTTTCCTGGTCTGTCGCTTACGAACCCATGAAAGAGATGCCCGACCATAAAACTAAATGACGCCTCTGTAATCACTCAGCGGTTTTATGCCTTTTAGCTATGGCGAGGGCGAGGCTGAAGAGCTGATGGGTGATCACTTTATTTTTGTATCAAGGGAGTGTGATATGGGCCTAAGCATAGCAAAGGCCTGATGGGGATGTGCAAGATTTTGAATGCGCTATAGTATGTGACCTCACGACAGAGTAAAGGTGTTTTATGTACTCTCAAGGTTGGTGGTGAAGGGGATGGCGTCAACATGACCTCTTAACGTTCACCGCCTGAAACTTTGCTACTTGTTATTGTGCTTTATTTTTGCAGACTACGTACCTTTCTAACCCCTCCCCTAACCCCCCTCATTCTCATACATCTCTCTTTTATCCTTGTACACATGGTAACCAAAAATATAATACTGTCAAGACGAATAAAATCAGAAAACGTTTTCAGAATGCTCCAGGTGGAGCTGGACAAACTAGAGAGACGGTCTGGTACAAGACGATCCAACTTTAAACCACGAAAATACAAGGTGGTAGTATACGGGACAGGGGTGAGGAAGCCACGTGGACAGTATACGCTCATGACGAGGCAAATGATTTAGATAATAAAATAGTTATAGATATACCCCTATATAATTCTATATATCTATATAGAATTATATAAATTCTATATTCTATCCTATTCTATAAATTCTATATAAAAGTTCTATAACTATATATAGTTATAGAAATAAACAGTTATAGATAGAGGGAGCCGGTCGGCCGAGCGGACAGCACGCTGGACACGTGATCCTGTGGTCCCGGGTTCGATCCCGGGCGCCGGCGAGAAACAATGGGCAGAGTTTCTTTCACCCTATGCCCCTGTTACCTAGCAGCAAAATAGGTACCTGGGAGTTAGTCAGCTGTCACGGGCTGCTTCCTGGGGAGTGGAGGCCTGGTCGAGGACCGGGCCGCGGGGACACTAAAGTCCCGAAATCCTCTCAAGATAACCTCAAGATAAGATAACCCCAAGCCTATCACCGGGGCTACACGTACACAGGATAACATCAGTGGTGTAAGCAAATCTGGCAAACATTAGTATAGCCATAGTGCACCTAGACTAGGA